AAAAAAAAAAAAAAAAAAAAAGATCAAGGAAAGTGATTGCTGTTAAATCACGTTGGAAAGACCATTGTCGGTTCTCTCATATTAAAGGGAAGCAGGTTTGAAATCTCAGTACTGTTTCTCCATTCCTGTTTCAGTCAAGGTGAACACACACACGCACACTCACGCACGCACACACACACACACACACACACACACACACACACACACGCAGACACTTGCTCGAAGCTGCCCTCTAAACAGTATCTTCACTGTGGGAACCATGTGGAACCTTGTTTCCTGTGTAAATCCTGAACTCTTCCTGGAGGATGGAAGCCAGATACCAGTCTGCTTTTAAAACAAGTTTCTCGCGTAATTGAATTTCCCAAATGGCAAAGAAGGCCTCAGTACACAAAATGTTCTCACAGGAGATGTTCCTAGAGTCCCATGAAATATGTGTCTGCCTTTCCTCAGAGCAAACAGCTAAATACCATTATTACTCTCAGACATGCATACATTTCTGAAACGAGTTTAGGTTCTTTCTAATTGGTGCCTGACCAATACTCTATTTTCTAATAGCTTGGCAAGATCTGTTCATCACTCTCTAGTGTATAAATTAAAACGTGAATGCTTATGAGGTATCCCTGTCCAGTGCACCCTGCTGGAAAATCCTAGGTCACAGATCTGAGTATCTCCATTGCAATTTCGTTAGCACATTGTGGACTTTACAGTCCACACAAATATCCCCTATCTTTACTGGGAACAGCCTCCACTCCCTCCAGCCACACCCAGGACACTCCCATTCCTCACTCCCAGCAGCTCTGGATCCCAGGCTCTCTTCAGGGTGACCACAGCAACCCTCCCCGAGGCAGACGGACTCTTCACTTCTATCTCTGGCTTGAAAGCTTCCTTCCCCATCGCCACCCTTCTCCTCTGTGGCCACTTTCACTGTAATACACTTTCACTTATGATTCCTCCCACAATGGGTTCCCTACCCCTTAGCACAGTGTCTGACACACGGAAACACGCTCACGTTGCTTGGATAAAATGACCAAATGAGTGGAGGCATGACTGATTAAGATGTATCTTCTTTTCGACTCTAAATCTTAAAGTCCCCTCAAATTTAAACCGAGGTAATCCAAAACCTAAACCATAGTATCTACCATATTCAAATTCTCTAGAATAAATTAGGGTTTCATCAAGCTTGTCAAGTCTTTTGCAGATCCCGGTTACAGACAACCCCAGGAGTCTGGAGGGTGGATGCTGGGATTGGTCTGGAACCCACCAAGAGAAGCATGCAGCGGCTTTCTTTCACGGCACCGCAGCATCCCAGAAAGCCCAGGACCATAATGATGGCCCCCACCGCGATCAAGATATTCACAGCAATGAAGGGGTTCGTGCCATTAACTCCAGAAGCAACCATCTAGAAACAGAAGAGAATGGGGGTGTGAATTCCTGGCCTTGATATTTATTTTTCTCATTTTCCAAATATCCCTTGAGTGTCCACCAGGGGCCAGGCCCTATTCTGAGACCCTGGGAAGCATTTGTGGTCTAACCTATGGAAGTTCTGAGACCCTGAGAAGCTTCTGTGGTCTAACCTATAGAAGGTCTCTGCCCTGGAAACGCTCACATTCTGCTAAAATGCCACCTTCCTGAGTGGTGTTAAGTTTAGGGTAATTCTAGAACAAAGTAGTTGATGTTGAATGGAGGAACGGTAATGGCTCTTTTAAAGTTGTTTCTAAAAGCTGAAAACGAAAAGCGCTTTTAGTCTCTAGAGGGGCTCTTTGGTTCACACGTTGTTTATTGGACCCGTAGAGTAGTGTGGCAAAGGCTTTGATTTATGACAATCTAATTATTGCTTACAGCATGAGTAAGCGTCAGAATCTTGTTAGCTGAAGAAGGCATGCATGATAGAGCAAATGCTGCAAGAACCATCTCTTGGAGGTGAAGAACAGGCAAAGCTGCGGTGATAACAATTAAAGCAGTTTGCCTTTGAGCAAAATAGGCAAGAAGGCAGGAACTGGCTGAAAAGGCATACCAGGAAAGGGTTCAGGGTTAAGGAACACGCTCTTGCATTTTAGTAAGAATAGAACAAGCCCAGTTCCTGGCAATCCATATCAACTCTTATCTTCTCATTCCCAGAAGGACTAAACCCAGAGACTTGAATTTTACCAGACTGTCAAATTGTGGGATGTTGAGGAAAATGCCTTAGGTCTGTTTACGGTGGGTGAGTTACCCGTCCGCATAATTCAGTTCTTCCTCGGGCAACCCAAGTATCCGCTTGTCCATTAATCTCATAGCACCCCAAACACAGATACCACTGTCCTCCTCCACTCTTGCGCAGGAGTCGATTCCAGCTAAAGATGGAAATCTTGCCCCAGTGTTACACATGCGTGCTCCATACTGCTCCCCACCATGTCACCTGGAACCTCTAGGTGCTGGGCTGTCTCCAATGACAGATAAAGACTCCGAATTCTGTCATCCCCCAGACTACCCAGAGGTCACCTCCTTTACCAAATCAATGCAAAAATAGTGTGCCAATAATGATCCTTCTGTTTTGAAGTCGTTTGAAATCCAGGCATAACCTATGGGAAGTGTTTGTTCAATAGTCAACATGAAGGCGTGTATTGAAATTATGAAAACCTAAATACGAAGAACCATAATCTACTTGGGGTCCCGATATATAACAAGTGTGTAACTGCCGGACAGTAAGCTAATCTCAGCCTGTGGGCCCATTCACAGTTTGTGAGAGGGGAATAGGCTGGCTCTGTGATTTCCCAAAGCCTCCTTTGTCTGTAAAACATTTGCTTACACGTAGTGTTTAGATTTACAAGTTTAAAGCCTTCTTATGCTATAAATATTTTTTCATGAATTTTGGGGAGAGATTTTTGTTTGTGTGTGTGTGTGTGTTTGTTTCATTGTTAAGATTGGAGCCAGATTTCTTCGGAGGGATAATTACTTTTCTTGAAGCTTGTAGGCCCTGGTAGATGGAATCCTCTGCTCTGGTGGAAGACCCCACATCCTTGAGTATATGGGCAGCCCAAATTGGGTCTGGTGGGTTATTACAACAACAACAAAATTAAAGACACAAATTTTGGAAGGGGTAGACTGGGTGGATCTGGGATTAGGAGAGGAGTGGGGGATGAATATAATAAAAATACCTTGTACGAATGTATGGAATCCACAAAGAATTGATAAAAAAAAAAAACCTTAAAAGGATTACAAAATTCTTATTTAATTTTATGTATTTTGATCTTTTGTGGCAGGGTTTCTCTGTATAACAGCTCTGGCTGTCCTGGAACTTATTCTATAGACCAGGCTGGTCTTGAACTCACAGATCGATCTGCGTCTGTCTCTCAAGTGCTGGGATTAAAGGCATGCACCACCCCCATACCCATAATAATTAGAGAATTATTAAAATCAGAAAAAAATCTTGTTGTTAACAAGCAGGTACAAGGTCAGGGACAAAACAGATACATTAAGAACACAGCTTTGGGAAGACAGCTCTGCCTGGTCACCTGGACACGCTATGACATCTAAACAGGTAGCAAGGTTACTAGAACTCAGGACGGTCTGTAGAGATAATGAATAGATGGACGGTCTACACAGGGAGCTTCAGTAGTGCAAGCCGAAACCCCCACGGGCAGTAATTAAGGGCTCTGGTGAGGCCACCCACTGCCAGGACCAGGCAGAAAGAAAGCTGTGTGCTGACCCACTACCAGCCACTGTCTCAACTCAGCCCAACAAATGCCTATTCTTACTGAAGAACAAACTAGAAATCTGAGCCGGATGTTTGTTCTAGCAGGAACCCAGCAAGCTTTCTAAAGCTGTCCCATATAAACAGAGTCCACGTGTTTCTTAAGAAAAGGGGAGAAATTCTAAAGAAGGGCTGGCGAGTCTGAAAGAGGAGGCTGCGGGGATCTTCTTTAGATTGGAAGAGATCCTGAAAAAGGGTGGTCCCCGTGCTTTTTGTCTTGGAAACTGTTGAAGTTTGTCCTCAGAATGTACCCTTCCACGGCACGTTAGCAGAAAGAGATGGTGCCTTCCTGCCATTCTTTTCTGTGTTTGTTCTCACGTTGGCCCTTGTAAAACTACTAGTTCTATTTTCCCAGGAATAAAATGCAGCTCACCACTCAGCCTTGATTCTTTACCACTAACTGCAGTTAAACACACAGCAAGCTAACTTCACGTCACTGAGGCTGGTTACCCTGGTACTGACTTTTGTTCTGGGTAGGAGGCTGAAGGCACCAGGCTCTGAACCAACAGCGCTGTTGGGTCCTTGCAGTCCATTTCGGTCCCAGATGTGAAGTCAGAATCATTCTCTCAAGGACAACGGCTCTCTTTTAATATGTTCAATATGTGTCGTTTCTTAACAGACTAAACACCAAATTTGCTTAACAGAAACACTGGGAGTAAGAAAACATCGACCAGAAATCGAATAAGAGGATAAAATTCAGGCTGTGCACACATCTTCAAAAGTCCAAAGTACCCACAAAGTGATGGTTGGTAGTCCCTTTTCCTTTTTTCAAAATTATGAGCCTCAAAGTCAGACAGATTACGTGCACCCTCAAAGCCCACTTCCTCTTCCTCCGGAACACCAGATCGTGGGGCCATCAGGAATTTAGAGCCACATTTATCAGAATAAATAATGAATGGAATTCTAATGAGCTGGGAGGCAAACTGACCTGCTCCACCCAGCCCCTCCCAGTTTAATCTGCTGGTGAAGTGCAGAATTGAGGAAGTAGGTAACGCCTCAGGGATTCTCTGGACTCCCTTGGGATAGAAAAAAGTCATGGGGGAGGGGAGTGGACAAGATCTCCCAAGTAAATTGGGAGAGTGGAGGACAGGGGGTGGGAGAATGGAAGGGGAGAGGGGAGGAAAGAAGGGGAGTGGGGAGAAAAATGTATAGCACATTCCCATCCAAACAATCAAAATGAGAAGGATTTTAAAAAAATAGAGAGAGGGGGAGCTAGAAAGAGGGATGAGAAGGAAGAAGGGAGAGAGGGAAGAAGGGAGAGAGAGGGGGAGGGAGGAAGGGAAGGAGGAAGAGAATGAAGGGGGAATGGATCTTTCTGGAAAAGCTGTCTGTATTTTTCTAATACAGAAACAAACCAGCTGCCAGTTTCCTTTTAATCCTTCTTTCCACTAAGCCATGCCCCAAGGCAGTTAGTTGCACCATGATATAACAATAATTTAAATGATTTCAGAGCCGGGCGGTGGTGGTGCAAGCCTTTAATCCCAGCACTAGGGAGGCAGAGGCAGGTGAATCTCTGGGAGTTCTAGGCCAGCCTGGTCTAGAAGAGCTAGTTCCTGGACAGGAACCAAAAAGCTACAGAGAAACCCTGTCTCGAAAATAAAAAAAAAAAAAATTTAAAAAAATGATTTCAGAGCATAGTCTTCACTGCTGGCTTAATATTATCTTTATAACATTCAATAGGCATCGTCATTCTTCTTAAGGGAGGAAAATTATTGGTGCAGAACCTTTGACAAGGCCCTAGCAATAGGTGTGGCCCTGTAAGAGCCTGCCACCTGCCCTCACAACCAAGGGTGAGCAAACAGCTCTGTAGGCGCTAAGAACAGTAAAGCCAGGGGAGGGGTGGGGGTTCCACCCTTTGAATTGAGAGGGAAGAGGAGAATGGAAATAAGGGAGTCGAGAAATGGAGCCAGCGTGGAGTTATTTTCGATAAATCTGAAACAATAACCGACCCACACACTTCCCCTTTCCCCAGTTTTTTTGCACATTTGTAGCACTTTAGCTTGGAAAAGAAATAGCAGTGTTGAGTCCAATGGCTTGGACCGGAATTGTGCCTACAAACTAAACTTCCAGACCTGGGGACATGTTGATAAGAAGAGCCTTGTCCCTGGGATGGAAAGGTACGCTGTGTGAGGAAGCTGGCTTTATTAACTGTTTGTGTGATCAAGAAGCTGACCACCACCTGAGCCAGACTAGCAAGGCAGCCGCAGGTTGAAGCGGTTGCCTCTAATTCTGGTTGTAAGAGGTAAACAGCAGCTATCCTTGTACTGGGCTGCCCTTGAAATCTAGAGGCACTTTCGTCTCCAAGGAAACGTTTCATAGTATTTCATACTGGACCAACCAGCTTGGGATCAGCTACATCATAATCAGAATGTACTAAAGAAGTTGGTCTAGGTGGGGAAGAAAGATGCTCTATGTCTCCAAGCAGCTCATGAGCCTATGGCCTTCAGTGATGAGGGATGCAGGATTCTACTCTGACCCCTTCCCGCATCTCCTTGTGCTGAAGTCTTTCTAGTGTGAAAATAATGGTACTAGAATTTAGGGGATTGACCCAACTGGGGTGACACATGTTATCAGGGAAATTGGGATCACCTCTCAGGGTTCTCAGTCTCATTGATAAGATAATTTAAGAATGGGTACAGAAAAAAAGCTCAAAGATAATTTTATTTGAGCTTAAATTAAGAAAAAAAAAACCCTAGGCAGATGAGCTATAAATCTTGGCAGCTTCCTGGAGGAGGAAGACAGCTAAGAGGAAGAGAGGAAGCAGTGGTATTTGAGTTTGGTTGACTTGGTCAGCCATGGAGGTAGGACAAATACCCATGTGGCAAAAGCACCCTGGGGATGGCAGTGTCATGAGCATCATGCCAAATGCTAATGCTGGGACTCTGGGAAGGAAAAATATGTTATCTCATTTAAGGATATAATTCCTCCTGCATTTTTATTTTTGCTTCTTTTTTTCCCCACACAAAAACATTAAAGCTGTTTATTTTCCCTTTTTAATCACCTCTTATTTGTTTTGGTTCTTTTGAGATTGGGTTTATCTGTAGCTTTGGAGCCTGTCCTGGAACTCGCTCTGCAGACCAGGTTGGCCTCAAACTCACAGAGAGATCCACCTGCCTCTGCCTCCCGAGTGCTGGGATTAAACGCATGCACCACCGCCACCTAACTCATCCTGTATTTTTAACTTGACTTATGGTAAATAAGCCTTCTTGAGAGCTTTGCCTTAGGGTTGACCAAGTGATTGACCTTAGCCAAGTGATTGACCAGCCCAATTGGATTGACTAACTCTTAACATTTTTGGGTAGTTTGGAATGACAGCTCTCTACCCATGCCAGAGAAACAGCTTTTCCTTCATAAAAATGGAGGCTTCTCTAATAGTAACACCCCCTCTCAGCTCTCCAGGAGGACTGTTCCATGCAAGACACATAACAAGCAATTTTCATGGCTTAAACTGTAAACCCATAAAACATCACAAATGGCAAGTGAGACACTTAAGAAAACTGGTACAGAACATTCACTACTTGTCATTAGTGTTGCCGTTGCTCTTCATTATGGAGATAGGGTTGTGTCGTGTGTCTGTATTTACCTCTTTGCCATCCTTGCTGACTCTCACCCATATTGCTAGTGCCAGGATCAATGTACCACATATCTGCAGAAACGAGGAGGAAAAAGGGAAAGTTAGCGTACAAAGATAAAATGTAATTCCATAAACTCCATTTACCTGACTATAATAGTTTATTAATAACCAGACAATTTCAGTCTTAGTCTTTAGACAAGATGCCACCTCTGCTAGGGGAAAAAATATATTTCACATGATTTAATTCCAATCATGTGTCTTTTTCCATTATGGTTTAAAGATAAGATACCTCTAAAATACTCCTGGATTTGACTCTTGAACTCTGAGGAAGATGGAAGTTTGCAAAGATAAACAACAGCAGAACATTTGACAAAATGTGAAATTTAGCAATGATAGTATATATTTATCAATATTTTTAAACTCTAACCTTGTAAAAATAGTAGTAAAGCTTACCCAGAGAAAAGAAACAATGGTGAACAGTATTCAAAGTCTTAAATTCCTTTAATGACTTTACCAGATTATTTAATTTGGACCATGGCCAACACATAAAATGTAAAACACATTTTACTTTAGTGTAGGGAAAACTCTTGTCTCTCAAGATTAAAACAGAAAGAGATACACATAGAGGCCGCAAAAAAATCAAAGATGTGTCATTAGATCAATATGCTGAGGGCAGCCCTGATAACATACCAGACAAAGTTGGCCTTGGAAGACTTTCTAGATGTTTCTGACCTTTTCATACACTGACAAAGAAATGTCTGGGTTCTCCAAAACCCAGTGACCTTGAAGTGTCATTGCTTTTCTGCAGGCATGGTTGAACCACAGGTCTGCAACCTGTAGCAGAATTTTTAGTACTACTCATTAAGTTTGCAGTGGAAATAAGGTCAAGGGGCTTGTTAAAGGAATCGGGAGTACACTGAGCTGTTGAGGAGGAGACATGCAATCTCTGCTGCCTAAAAGACCACAAAAGCCATCTCAGTCCAAACTGTTAAGATAAAGTTACTGATTCCTGATAGATTGCGGTCACAAGGTTGAAATCCAGGCCAGCTCCTCACCAGTCTGCTCTTCTTACATGTTTTGACTCCTGCAAAAATTATTCTAATGCAATTTTTAAAAAGAATAAAATTCTTTGTTCAGTAGACAATAACCTATGCAATTGACTATCTTCAATGCAGGCATATATAAAGACACGATACAGCATTTGTTAATAAAAGCTTAGAGTTACAAGCCTCATTACTGTTCTTCCCAATCAAGCTAATATTTACCAATGAAGACAAGGACCCACGTTAGCAGGTGGTAGTCAGCAAGTCAGAGAGCAAGAACTAGAGTCCACTGATGACTAAGGAGGCCTTCTGATGGTGATTTTATGATCATTGCCTTTTCCTTGTTTCTTAACTGACTCCCTTACTGGTATTTCCTGTCCCTTTATTCTCCCTTTACAAGTACATTTATACCGACCATCATTTTTAATTTATTCTTGGAGAATTTCATACAGTGTATTTTTTACCATATTCATTTCTATCCCCTACTCCCAGGCCATCCTGCCTCCCTTCATATCCCATTTCATGTTCTTTCTTTCTTTAAAAAAAAACAAAAAGAAGAGAAAATTCCACTAAAAAGCACGGAGTCTGATTTGTGTTGGACAAGTGCCTGTGAGCATGGATTCTGCCTGGAAAGTTGTTGATACACCCGGGATCACTTCATCAAAGAAAACTGATTTCCCCTTTGCCAGTTGCTATCATTTGTGAACAGCTTCTGGCTAGGGCTAGGAGTCTATACCCACCTCCCCTCCTTTGTGCCGGGATTTTGTCCTTCTTGAGCATGTCTCATGCATGTTTTCATTGTCTCTGTGAATTCATACCGGTATCTGCCCTTTTGCGTCTGTCTTCTTAAAACCACCATCACCTCTGACCCTTACAATCTCTCTACCCCCTCTTCTGCATAGATCCCTGAACCTACTGGGGAGAAATGTGGCAAAAACAAAACAAAACAAACAAGCCAACAAACAAAAACATTCTATTCAGAGCTAAACACTCTACATAATATTCAGTTGTGTGCCTCTGTGCTAATTAACATCTACTTCAAGAAGAAGCTTCTCTGATGAGGACTGAGGGATATGCTCATCACTGGGTAGAGTAATATGTCATTAGAAGTCGTTGTCTGGAGGTGTTCATTTAGCAGAATAATAGTGTTTAGTCTTCCTTTGGGGACCATGAAGTATCTAGTCTCGGGCTCTTGACCTCATTAACAGTACAGAACTAGGTTCCATCTGATGAAATCCAATCAGAAAAAGCGGTTGATTTCTCCTCTAACATTCATGGCACCCTTGCACCGGCAGGCATATTTTAGAGGCAGGTTGTTATTATAATTCTCAGGGGTCACAACTGAAAGAATCTGATGAGGATGGCCTCCAGTGCAGTACTAACCAGTAGGGATGAAGCTTTCGTTTGAGTACCAGCCACGTTTCTCCATCTTTGATAAAGAGAAGCCTGTGGTGGGTTAAGCAGTAAGACTGGAGAGGGTAGCTAATAGCATCAGCTATTGCTTGTAATGTTTGGGGGAGTCTCTGGGAACTTTTTGACCAACAACTCAAAAAGATATAACCCACTTTTGGTACTGATAGTTTCATTTCATAGCATATAATATCTAGTTGGGATATTGTCTTTCTCCTTGCATGTTAAGTCCATTTAAATTCTTTTTATATATGTATAGAGTTTAGGAAATTTCTACAATAATAGGTTTTCACAGGGCTTTTCCAGAGGTCTTTAGTGCTGCCTACCCCTCTCCGTATTGCCTCGTCTACCCTGGTCTTAGATTTCCCACACCCTTATTCTGATCATCTTAATAGTTACTCTGGTATTTAACTTTAACTAAAAGTAATGTTAATTATCCTAGTAACTATTGTTTATCTGGAATTTATTAGACTACGAGAGAGAAAACTTTTAGACAACTATGATATGTTGAGAGCTGGAGAAATAGTCTTCCCCAGACTTCCCCAGAGCACACCAATTGGTTTTCCAATAGCAAATAGTCATCCCTGAAAATTTATAAGTACAATACTTACAGATAATATTTACATACGTCTACAACAATAATCAATGAAAAAGAGGCCATGAGTTTGAATAAAAACACAAAAAGGTATATGGAAGGGTTTGGAGGGAGGAAATGGAAATGATGTAACTATATTATGATCTCAAAAGATAAGGCAATAATAATAGCTCTTATAGTAAGAATCTGATAGTCTTTAAACCTTTATCTACTATTTCTATTGCAACTTACCTCAAAGTACTTAAAAACTAAACTATACATATATATCTTATCAACCATGACCCTCAAATGATGTTAGGTTTTTCTGAGCAATTGTATATTGTCTGTAACATCAACATTGAAAAGAAAGAGTACTCGATTAACTCAAAAGTCAAGAATATTTTGTCTAATTTCAGTCTTCACAATTAGACAAAATCCTTTTACACATATAGAAATTAGTTAAATGCTCAGGCCCATGCCCAACACTATTCCTCTCTTTTGTGTGTGCTTTAGTTTTAAAATAAAAATAAACTGTTTAAAACTCATCTTTCTTATCTTATTGGAGAAACTCAAATGTAAGGATCATAAACTTAACACCATTAGAATCCTCAAAAATGCTCCAGTCAATCTTAAAAGTATATGCATCTTCTATCAAATTGATAAAATACAAATCAGTTCCACTACCATGGTTGTAAGATGGACCATCATAGTGAGCACCTGGGGCCTTCCCCATGCCTCATGATTGGCTCTAAAAATCTGTTAAGTTGTTAAGATATGCCCGGCTCTAAATACGTTTGGTTGTAAGACTATGAAATGAAAGACATTAATATATTGACTATAGTCCTGGCATCAGTGGACACTGTAGAACTCACTGACCCATCTTTATTTTGGTTCCACTTTCAGGAGAATCACTGTGGTTTTTATTTTGTCCTAACTTGATATCTTTGATTTTCACAGTGAGGATGTGGTTGGTCAGAATCAGTATTCTGAGAACGTAGACGGGCTAAGTGAGATCATCAAGGTAGAATACTAATCAGTAAGACTGTGAACCTTACAAGAGAGATCTGTCTCTCTCCCTCCACTAACTAAACCCTGGGAAGGACCACATGAGAACAGACTAAAAGGGCAGGAGAAGGACCCTCACCAGACACCCAGATGGCCATCCCCTCATGCTCTCACTCTTCAATCTCCCAACTTTCAGAACCATAAGAAATGAATTTCTGTTGTTTGAACTACCAGTCCACAGCAATATCTTATGGAGGCCCAAGCAGACCAAGACAGACACCAACAAAATGCTAGGAAGAGAATGGGAAGACATTCTGAACTAACTTCTGATTGGAATTCTGCAGGGCTTGATGGGAATTCGTGTGGGTTCCTAGAATCCCAGCTTACAACTGCTCCCGATGGTCATTAGTGGAGGAGAGTCTGTGTTAGCCAGAGCAACAGGCTCGAAGTCTCTTGGGTGGGGAATCTCTGGGGCTTCATCTATCTAGAGCAGAGGCCAGCATCATTGAGGTATACACCCTTCATTCTCACAGACTACTTGCCTTGTGTCTAGTTTAGAGAAGGGTCAAGTATGATTAAAATTATGCTTATATTTTTAAAACTTACTATGCATAAAATATGATCATCATTTGAGTGGCTGGTTCTTATATTCCATCATTGGAATAAAGAAAAAAGCAATTAAACTACAGCATACCAGTCCTTGCTTACAAGTTTTTATAAAATTTCTTAAGTAATCTTTGCAATTAATCTCTCTAGGTAAATGAGCCACCCTCTTTTAATGCATGGGGGAAGGAGCACACAACAGCCAAGAAACATAAGGTAGCACACAAAGCAGTAGAGTGTGCCCAGGATCTGAATCATAAGTGGTGTGAATCCACATTTTTTCCCATTTCTTTAACTGCGGTGGAAGAATTCTTGCCTTATCATAATTTCTTTCAGTCTTAGTTCCTCCTCTGGTCTACAATCCAGCATGGAAAATAATCCCCTACATTATGAAATAGTTCCATATCTTTTTCATTAAAATGCTTATAAAATGCTGATTGAAATGTTATTTTTTGAAAGCACATATTATTATTTTGAGCCTTTTATGCACACTAACTTACTTAATCATCACGATGATCTAAAGAGGTACATAGCACTTTGGTCATAATTTGGGGAGACAACAAACTGTAAAGTACAGAGAAGCTACTCCCTCCAAGGAAATACAGCAAGTAAAGAAGCAGTATCTTGTTTGACCTACAGCTCACTACAACTGGGCTCTTACATCCTTGCTGTTGCTGTAGTTCAACTGAATAGCAACAATCGTACAGTCACTGTATGTACAAAGACTTCAGCCACAGTGAACTGTTTTTCACAGGACTTTTTAATCAGTTGACAAGATAACAATATCTAACAGTGCCCGAGTATTTGCAATATACCCCTATCTCAGAGATATGTCTGCTTTGCCTGCAAGCTCTTAATTAAGACGAGCTCATCCAATGTAGAAAATACAAGGAACATTGAATCACTGGCTCCTAGGTTTGGCCCATGGTTAGACTCCCTTCTAAACACTTGGAACTCCACTGTACATCGATCCCTTTGGATGCAGATGCCTTTGACTTTAGGGCTTAGCCCCCTTTTCTCGCTGTGCTCATTTGAAGACTGGCAATGTGTCACTGTGCTTTTGCTCATGAAATCTAATCTCTACCCGGTGCCCTGTGTCTGGCTTTTATTATCCTGTATTTTCCCATAAAGGGCCCCAGCTTACTCAGATGCCCAGGAAACCCTAGGCTTCTTTGTTATTCGCAGGCCTGTCCTATCTAAGAAGGGCATGAGAAAGTTTGGGCATTTCCTGTGTTTGACATATGACTCAGGGAAACAGGTTTGGTATCTGTAGCTTTTCTATTATTGATAGCACCTCCAATTCTGTCATTGGCATGATCGGGAATGATTTTTAATTCGCATTTTTTTCTTTGATCAGTAGTTCTATCAACTGTAAAGCACCACATATTTGTGTGGCACCTCGAGGTCTCCCTGAAGAGAAACCACTAGGTTTAGATCAAATGACCATATGCATATCTCGAAGATATTTCAACATCTGGCCCCGCTTTACTAAAGCCAAGTTTCACAAGTTAGAACCAGAAAGAATGCACTTGAAAACACAAGGCCATGGACATCTACAAGAAAACCACATCAATGGGAACATTAAAATTTTTGCTCATGTAAACATTAAGAATGTGACAAATTGCTAACTTCCTATGAAGGATCATAACTTTCCAACTGAGAACTCTGGGATGAGGGGAGACACAAGAGGAGAAACAGGAATGTTCCCCGGCCTCAGAAACAGCTCCAGATGCCTATGTTTTGATTTAAAGTGCTGATGTCACATGTGGCTAAGAAGTTGTCATTGGTCTTTCCAGTTATTGTCCTTACTGAGGGTAGCTATCCCTAACACAGAGGTTGCAGGTCACCACCACACATGGGGAAGAGAAAAATCTGTAAAGGAAATTAGACTATCTAACTGAAATCTATACTATCAGTAAGATTTCATGTGTGACCACAGAGAACAAACAGATTGTAACCATAAAGTAATCAGAGTTCCCCCAGGAAAGCTGTGACTATGTCTGGAAATACAACTTCACAGAGACAGGAGAGCTGCAATTGACCTTGAATCTTTGACCTTAAATCCATTATGCATCTCTTCCCGGGATTATCCTTATATAATGTTTTGGTTCAAAATTTGCATCTATTTCAAAATCATGTTTTTGAATTAGACAATGAATTCACAACTTCCATCAGGACTTATTATTCTTTGTTTATAAAATGATACATTTTAACGTTTCCCTAATCTGCAGATAGTTTCTGGTGTGGGCATTTACAGACAGATTTTTTTTTAACATCTTAAAAACTGTTTATTATTATATTAATATTTGGTTGTTTAAATGGGATATATACATATATATCATAGAAATATAAACAATGGCTATAGTTCTATAAAAAGTAAACAGATCAGAACTTCTTAAAGAAATAGACGTTCTAATGAGCCTGGAATATTTGCCCCAGTTAATAATAAAGAAGCTATAAATATATTATAATCATATCAAAAAGACTCAGAAACCAACTTGAAGAGCCCTTTTTTAAAAAAATGTCAGAATTTAATTGTACATCAATTAGAATAAGAACTGTATTGAACTATATTTTCATCTCATAAGGAAAATATTATCTTATTGTTGAATGGTATGAGAAAGCCTACCCATTTTGCAATCTGGTTAAAAAAAAAGAAGAAAGTATTTATACTACATCTGTGTATGCATTTATGATATATAAAATATGTGATATACATAATATGTGTTCTCTCTCACCCGCATGTGTGCACATGCACACACATAGACACACACACTCACACTTTGTGGGCCTTTCCTGGATCCCAGTTCAAATAGCAGCTTTGAAGCGATTAGAAATTGAAACCTTTATAAAGAAATCTTATTACATTTTTGAAGTATGAGAATGGTGCTGTAGATACATTAGTAAATGTAATTTCCTTGCAATACACATGTTAATGTATTGAGAGATGAATGATAACCCTAACCATTGCTTTATAATTTCCTGGGCAGATGAATGAAAATATGGGTATACAGATTGACCGTGGTCTCGTGGTTTGAGAGCCCGGGTAATGGAGCTAATTTTCCAGATTTGTCTTCGTTTGTGAATGTTGGAAAGCTTGAAAGAAAGCCAAAATATGCATTTATACTCTACCCTCAGCGACTTTAATAATTCAAGAGAAGCAAGCTATCAAATGAATTTTTAAAATTTGTCATAAATTCTTGAGTTTCACAACATTTTTCTCGTTTCTAGTATTTTCAAAGCAGCCCACCTTTTTTTTCTAGGAAAAAGACAAAGTATAAAGAACAAAATGTTTCACTCTATTATTTATATAAATAAACATCTAATTAATTTAATTCACCAATATGTCACCTATACGAGGGCTACTGGTCATTGAATGGAAAGTCATTTCATACAATAAAATTATAGTAGTTTCTTTAAATTAACCATTATTTAGTTTATGAGACTGGAACTTTCCCTTTCCCCCACTGCTCTGTCCAACTCTCTTTAAGCCCTTTTCTCAAAGTTAAGAAAGAAAAGAAATTTTTGTACTGAACCAGCCATGTCTCTGTTATAGGCCAAACAGTTCAGATACAAAGCCAGAACTTCTTATTTTTAATAATACATAAGCCACTTTACAATTCAGAATATAAAATGATTTTTTTCTGTTTGAGCACTCTGGAATATTCCTATTGCTTTACCAGTGAACAGGTTTTACTTATAGCATATATGTAATGCAATAAGGTTGTTTTTCCTACAGCCCACCCCCTTTACTTCTTGGTATTCATTTCTCAATGTTAAATACTACTTCCATTGTGCGTGTTTTAGCTCCAAGAGGGGTTCTCAACCTGTGGGACACAACCCCATTAGGATGGAACCACCCTTTCACAGGAGTCCCATATCAGATAGCTTGCATATGAGATATTTACATTACAATTCATAGCAGAAGCAAAATCACAGTTAAGGAAGTATCCCCCAAAAATAATCTTACGGTTGGGGGTCACCACAGCATGCGGAACCTTATTAAAGGGTCACAGCATGAGGAAGGTTGAGACCCACCAATCCACATCAACAGACTTTCAAACGAAACATTCTCTGCTAGATACAAACCCTGCTGTTTGTAAGGGTGTTTTGATGACATATCAAAACGCTTCAAAATACCCATGCATAGTGACTGGCTTAGCTGAAGCTTATGATTGAATACTCTTGCTTCTCCCAGAGTGTTTCAAGGGCCCTTATTTTTTTTCCTGGGGGCTCTGAAAATGATCCTCACACGTGTTTATCACCCTCCCACCCACTAGTTAGTCACCTGCTTTAAACCCAGATGTCAAGGGAGGGAACCAGAAGCCAGGCTGAAGCAAACTGTTTTCCTTGGAGTCCTTAAACCAGAGATTGCTGATTGACATAAAACTAAGAACAATCGTCCTTTAATTAAGGGATATTTCCCCCTGTGTTTAGTCTTGCAACAATATGAAAACATTTGGGACATGTTTATCTTCAGAGAACTTGAGTACCCTTTTTTTTTTTTTTTTAAGAGTCATTGGCTTATTTTCGGTTCCCGAAACAACCAAAGAGAGACAAACAAATCCAAACAGTTAAATGGAAAATGTCTCTTCCTCCTCATCCTCTAGCTCTTACGTAAGTCTGTTCTTGGTTATGGTATTTATCTCAGGCTCCACTTTCTTGTACAAAACTGATAATTAAAAGAAAAATACTTACCCAGAACAAGAAGTTGAAGAAAAACATGGAATATTTTAAGCAGCCACTCACACCTGCCATTTCGGAGAAGAAGGAACAGCCACCCAGGTACTGTGCAAAATGAAGCAGTCCTTACAGGGTTATCCGGCAGTATGCTCTGGCCGATTTTGCCTGCAGAGTTAGTTCCTTGTATCTGCAGCTTCGGGGCAGAAATAAAGAGCAAAAAATAGGAAGTAATCTGAAGAAAAAAAATATATCCAGTTATTAGCGTGGATAAAATTTTAACCCACACATTTAAATATTTCAAACGTTATCTTCCTGCTAGTATGTTCTTTTCCTTGTTATGGCTGCTAGGGCATTGGGCCAAGATATTTATGATCTCTTCTCAAAGCCCGCTCCCTCTGGAGTAAACAGATATCAAGTTAAGCGAGTGTGACTGGAGCAGGGGTGGGGATTGGCACACCCAGGTAGCAGGTAGGAGGTGGGCAGGCTCCCGCAGCCACAGCCTGGCATTGCTGACCTTTCTTTTAACCACAGGGGTAGAGGTTGTTGGGCTCCCAAGTAAAGGAACCTGTATCTCATTTCCTTTTGCCTTGCGTTTTGATAAGAGCACCGAGTTTCTCTCAGAGGCAGCGACTGGTCTTTGGAAACCTGCAAAACCTGCAGGTTTGGTTACAGCAGCCTTTCTCAACTTCAGATGAATAGTGAACCAACCCTTGGTTGGCGCCTTCTTTCCAATGCTGCCTGTCCTTAGTTAGTTAGCTGTTAGTTCCTTACTTAGTTAGCTTGTTGTTTTCCTTCAAAACAAATCATAAGGAGGAACTCCCTTAAATACCTGTCACTTTCAAGAACTGAAGGGGAAGTGGGCTTGGTATTAGGGTGAGACCATGGGGGTGTGGGGGGTAGCTTTACCTCTTTGAGTGAAAAGAGGAAAAAAGCAGTGGGGGCTGGGGAGGGGGGGGTGGAATCTCAGGAGCTGCTCCTGACTGCCCTTATTGTGTTTAGTCTATGACACAGTCCCCCGGTTTAATGGCCTGGTTTGTTTTTAAGGTGAATTCTGTGGCTTCATTCTTCTGAGAACTGATCTAGAGCAACGATTCCAGTCTAACTCAGTTTCTGGGTTCTGGGCAGTTGGGAAAGAAAATCCCAGGGGGACCATGCTTGTGAACCCGTGAAAGCAGATCATTCAGCTCATGCTAACGGGATGTAGCCTGCCCCAGGTATTAAAGACAGGGTTCTGTGATCTGTTTAGGCAGGTCGCTTTGAGGCAACAATGTGGGTCTTGGGTCTTTCCATGTCCTGCCTCTCAGAGGAAGTTCCTTGGCCCCTAAATAAAAATAGCCCCACACTTCAAAAGGTTGTTAAGAAAATAACCCTAAAAAAATAAAAGTAATAAAATCTCGAATAAATGCAGTGTAAAAAGTGACTGGGGTCTTATCCCACAAAAGTATCTCTTTAATTCTTACTAATGTGTGACTTTCCTCTGTAACTATAAAAAATAACTTTGGTACATGGCTAGCAGGAATACATACTGTAGTAGATCATATTTAGGATGAGTTTCCCAAGGAATCCTGAACCCAAAGTTCACTGATTAGTAGGACAACACGCTTTGTGATCTGTCTCTGCCAACCACCGTGCAGGAGCTACAGAGGTGATCTGCCTCGTGACATTTTTATTTCGGTGCTGGAGAACCAAACTCTGGTCTCCATGCTTCTGCTCCAGGGAGATTATCAGCTGAGCCACGATCTCCCCAGCCCCATAAGCGTTATGATGTGAATAAACCTCCACACCCTCTTATACTCATTGATCTGTCTTTTTCTCCTTTTGGGGCCTCTCTGCCAGAAAAGCAGAGATCCCGTCCCATTCCCCTGTAGAGTCATAGCATATAATACTGGATATAAAGGGGAAAGAACCTGCGATCCAGATCCCCAGAAAGCTCAATTAGTGACTCCTTCACTGGGCTCCCTAGGGAAGGATGAGGGTGTTAACCAAAACATCAAACACATTTCTGTATTTCAAACCTTCCCAGAACCTTTAACTTTTGAATATTGATGCTTGCTAATATTCACACAGCAATGCACGAATGAACAAAATGACATTTGAAACCACTGCCACAGATGCCAGATGTGGATACACTGTCAGAAGTGTGGATCTACACAAAGGCTCAAATTTTACGCTTCAAGAAAGTGTCACAAACCTGGCGTGTGACAGAGTCCCTTGTAGAAACAAAGCCACGTGGTGATTAAGAAATCTGAATTCTGTCCACCAGCGTCAGCTGCTGAGTTTTGAAGTTCAAGTCATTTGTCTTCTCAGTTGCTGCGATTTCGTAGGAGTAGGGTGGAGTGGGGTGAGGTGAGGTGGGGTCGGAAGTGTCAGTGATAAACCTTCAACATTACAAACCATCAAACCAAGAAGGACAGGTGATGCCAAGTGGGCTGTTGTAAGTCAGATGACAACTGGGAAAAAGGCAGAAAACACAAATAACTTTAGATAACATATCCCTAGTGCTGCCATCATGCCAAAACCTGTTACTCATAGAATGAACAGGGTAAATAAGGGAGGAGAGAATTGGAGTCTGACTAATCATGCAAACCCTCCGCGACACGGTCACTACTGAGTCAGTCAGGTTTGCTGACACCACGGAAATTTTGGCAGCCGAGAGAGGAAAGTTCTTATGCTCAGGGTGGTGAAAAGGGCATGAGTAGGAACACCGGGCCTTATATTTAATACGCATTTCCTCCAGCCTGCCAGATTTCCATCTGGAGACTATTGTGACTCGACTATGTCCCCAAAGATTCACACGGTGGATACCTCATCTCCAACATAACAGCGTTCAGCAGTAGAGCCCATTAGAGGTGATCAGGTTATGTATGAAGGATTCACAGTGTTCTGGTGGGAGTGGGTTCTTATCTCGAGAATGGATTATTTTTGTAAAACCATACTTTACCTTTCCCATGCCCTTTCCTGCATAGTGTACTCTCCCCAATCCCTGCTTCTCTTCCTCCTCCTCCTCTTCCTTCTCTCTCTCTCTCTCTCTCTCTCTCTCTCTCTCTCTCTCTCTCTTTCTCTCTCACACACACACTCACCACATGTGTGCACACATACATATACTCCCCCGAGCTCCCACCATCTGCCATGGAGTATTGTAGCATGAAGGCATTCATTCATCCTTACAGCCTCTTGAACTTGAATTTCCTAAGCTGCCAAACTGTAAGAGAGAAATCTCTCTTCCTCAAGACTTATTCATCTGGATACATTCTGTTTTAGCAGCAGAAGACACACAGAGATCAGACTTACTGAGAAAGCAGTGATAACAATGACATCACCGTGAGAGTCATTTCTCCTTTACAGGACACACTCAAAACTGCCTTTCCCCAAACTATATTTTGGGGTGCCCTTCTAATTTTGGAGCACAGCAGTTTACAAACCAGGATTTAAAATGCATGTTTTCAAAAATTTTTAGGAAGAAGACGACTTCCTCTTTATATTTATGTTTTCAAAGTCCAGTAATCCAAAAAAAAAATCATTGTCAGTGGAGTAGGTATTGATAAAAACAAATGACACCTTTTAAGGGGAGAAAAGGATCTCTTTTCTATTGTCTTCTAAATTCTCAGGCCACTGTCACTGAGACACACATATCACATTGTGACCCGTGAATTCATTTCCTCACAGATGAATAACAGCGGTGAGGGAATGGTGTTATAATGTTGTGGTGACTGTTCTTGGAAGTGGGTGTGTGAGGGCCTCAGGTCATCTCTCTTAAATAATTAACGGGAAAGGGAAGTTCTCGCTTCTCTTTTGGAACCTCTTCACTTGGCCTTTGGGAAAAGCTGAAGGGTGGAGAATCCCACTTCGGGTGTTCTCTAACCCAGTTCCTGCCTGCCTTACTGTTCTTCAGCTCTTGCTTCTGTCTGGGTGTGTTTATACAGCCACTCAGCTCCTGCAGACCTTCCTGGATGCTCACTGGAGGTGAGAAGCATCTGATTCGAGGGCAGTTCCCCTCTCCCCTTTGTAGGACATTTTGAACAGCAAGCTGGGGTTATATTAATTACAACTCGGAATTAAATGTGGCTTATAATTATGAATACCAATATTCTCTATAAATGCTTTTATTTTAAAAATACTCATGGCTTGTTCCTGGACATAAGATGATTAACCATCTACATGGGCATAAGGGAAGACATGGAAGTGTGTATGAGGAAAAATAGAACCCAGATCACTAATATCTGCTGGTAACTGATGATAACCAAAACTTGAGGCACAATGGTGCAGTGATGGGAAGTGAAACCAGAACATGTGGACTCGAGATGCTTGCAGATTTTTCCCAGGTGTCTCTACGGTGCTGCACACTCTTTTTATGCAAGTTGAGAAGAAAGACAGATGCTGGCTGGGAGCCCTTTGACAGCCCTTAAAGATCAGCTTTGCCAACCTTTCCGGAGTGAACTAATTCTTCAGGGATTTCCCAGGAGCTGCAGGACCATTTTCTTTAGTTTGCCCTGAGAAACCTACCTACCTATATAACAAGATGGTAACATTTTAGAAAATCTTCTCCCTGTAGAAAAAAAGTACAAGACTCAAAGCACAGATGATGTTTTGGGGGTGGATTCAGTAAAGTAATCTGTGTGTGTCTTGCCAAGGTTTGCTAGGCTCCTGGGCCTCGGGCTCCTGAGATCCAATCAACCAGCCAGACCCTCCAGATGGGGCGCCCAGTGGTCTCAGCAACCTCACCGTGAATGTTACTGCAACCTGTCAACAGCTTTTTCTTCTCAAATATGCCTTTTCTCTCTGCTGTATCTAGACTTCCAGCAACCTCCAGACAAGGAATGGGATTATTAGGTTTCTAGCTGCTAGGTTGTCATTACAGCTCCATCTTTCTTCTAAGACTGAGTTCTCCTAAAGTCCTCCACTTGCATATCATTGGTCTATTTGTTCAGATCCAAAGATCTGATCTACCTGATCTCTTGGAAGTTCATCTTGTACTTTTTCCCTTCAAACTAGGATTCATAACCGTGTTCATCAAGAGAATGAAAACTACAAACCAGGACTTTGAGATTACCAGCTCAGCTTCACTGGACAGTCCTTTTTTTTTTTTTTTTTTTTTTTACCAAATATTTGCCTGGTTGTTTGCCTCTTCATTAGAAATGCCAGCCTGGTTTTTCTGTGAGCTCTCTGAATAAGTCCTTTGTTTGAGGCATTCACAAGGGTCATATTAGCTGCTGAGCAGGGTTAGGTTCCGAGTTAATGGTGATTAAACACTAGGAAGCAAGTAAAGGTCGGCAACGAAAACTTCTCAGTGACAGTAGCAGCAGAGATGGGCAGAGGGATTTAAGGCTTATGTTGTGTCGGACACCAGCCTCCAAAATGGAGAGAGCCAATAGAACGCACATTGAACTCCACGCATGATTGCCCCATGACTGATCATAAATAAACAGACATGTATTCGTAATACAAATTAGAAAGTCACA